TCCGCTCAGCTTCATTCACACGCAGCAGCCGATTCTGCAGGCCGCCGTTCTGGCCACTTACTTTGACAGTCCCTGTAGGGCAAAGTGTAACTCTTCCACGACTTCCGCTTCAGCTACTACTGTTGCCAATGTGACTGAAACAGCAGTTTCGACTGTTACAACTGCTACTCCAGCGACTACAGTTTCTTCATCAGTTGAGGCCACTGCTACTGAAGCAGCAGGAGCTGTTGTTCCTGATAATCAAGCCGATTACTCCTCGCCTTCATCCTTTCTCAACGACTCCCTCCTGCCGATGGTCAACCTGACCGCCGAGCAGGTGGGCAACTTCAACGACATGGGCCAGATACTGCTGAAGTTCTTCGGGCAGATTGCCGCCGAGCAGCAGCAGCAGCAGCAGCAGCAGCAGGCGAACAATCAACAGGAAAATGCTGTCACAGCTGTCAACTTGGAGGCTACAACGAATCAGACAAACACGACTGCAAACGTTGACGGAAGCTCAGTCAAATCCAATGTCACCTCCTCGACGCTGTCCATTTCCAGTAATGGAAACTCCAGCAGCAGCAGCCTAAGCGTCCTGGACCGGCTGCGCGGCAGCCAGCGACCTCGCCTCGAGGTGACCACCTGCACGGCCACCGTCTGCAATGAGTGGTCGACGGAGCGGCTGCTGAAGGCTCGCCTCTGCTGCCTGAATTCGCCTGAAGGAGAGTCATCAGCCTCTTCTTCGAGTTCTGAAGCAAACTCCACAATGATTACCTCTACGACTGTTTCACCTGGAAACTCCTCCTCCTCTTCAAGTTCTTCCTCTTCCCCCTCAGGCTTTGGCTGCACGCTGTACGCCCGGCGGAACCAGTGCAGCCAGATTATGCCCGTCATTCGGTGCTGCCTGCGCAAGGTGCTCAACAAGTACTTTGACTTTACCATTCGCCTAAGGGAGCAGCAGCAGCGCTCTCAGGGAGGAGGAGGAGGAGGAGGAGGAGGAGGCGGAGGAAATGGAGGTGGAGGTCGACAGCTAGGGTCGTTGACGGTCGACCACACCGGAAGTATTGGCGGTGGTCAGTCTTTGGCGACTTCCGGTGGTTCAGCAGGAGGAAATGGTGGTGGTGGATTGCCTCGAGAGGTGGTCAGCTTGGAGTACCCGGCCGACTATGTGCTGGGCGGTGTGCAGCAGTCTGACTACCTGAAGCAGCAGCACCGGAAGCGGGTCAATCGACGGGTGGTGGGAGGAGGTGTGAGGAGGTGATGAAGGCTCAGATCTTTGAAGATCAGATTCTTTCTTTTCCATTCACCCTCCCCCCTCTTCGCTATCTATGATTCCATTTCTCCATTTCCATTTCCATTTCCTTCGTCTCTCCATCGATTATCATCGCTCCACTTTTCCNTCCATCTTCGTCTCTCCATCGATTATCATCGCTCCACTTTTCCTGGTCTACTCTTTGATTGCACACCTCACCACTCCACTCTGCTGCACATCTTTCCTTCATTTGTTTGGCTCATTCTTTTTGTTTTGACACAATTTTTTTTGCTTTATTTAGATAGTGTCTTTTATTTGTGTATAATAGTACAGATTGATTGGTGTGTTTATAAGATAAAAGTACATCTTTACTTGAACTCGTCACCATTGTGTGTGTGTGTGTGTATATTTACAAGTTTTAAGTTTTTTAGCTTTCTGTTCGCGGTTGATTTAGCCGATGTTTGTCCTTCGAGCGGCTTTCTGCTTTTTGGTGAGGTAATGGCAGGGAACATCAGCTTCAGCAGCCTCGGCTTGGCTTGGGTTGACTGCTACTGCAGCCACTACTGGTTCTTCAGCTTCTGCTACCACTTCTTCTATTTCTGCTTCTTCAACGATAACTAGGCGACGGCCGCTGTAGAGAGAGGTCGCGCTTGTAGGCAAAGAAGAAGAAGAGGGGGAGGAGGAGGAAGAGGAGGAATAGGAGGAGGGTGACAATAAAGTGGATGGAACACCACTTCGGATTACCGACACCTGTCGGGACACCTGCTGCTGCTGATAAGGAAGATGAGGAGGTCGAAGTACTGCTGTTGGGGGTGATGGGGAGGAGAATGAAGAAGGGCTGTTCTGCTCCCCGTAGTGGAGCATTTCTGTTGAAGTGGAAAGAAGTGACCTGAGATTCGCATGATGAGGAGGAGGAGGAGGAGGAGGATGCTGAATGATATGTTGGCTATTCGCCTGAGGGGTGTAGGGATATTGCTGCTGCGGCTGCTGCTGCAGCTGTTGGAGGGAAATTCTATTGGAGAAGGGGATGCTTTGGGGAGTGAAGTCGGGCAGGTGGGAGTGGCAGGAGCTGGAACATGAGCTTTCAGTAGAGGAACAGCTTTGGCTGCTGCTGCTGCTGCGAATGTTGTACTCCCCCCGCTGCCGCTGATGTTGTTGCTGTTGTTGCTGCTGTAGAGTAGATCGGGTGTTTGGGTGGTGGTGGTAGTTGTGGTGGTGGTAAGGTAGTGTTGAGATGGTTAGTGGTGGTAATTCTGGGAGACAAGGTCTGCTTAGGTTGAGTGGTGTTAGTTGGTTGTTGTTGTTGGCTGCTGCTGCTGCTGCTGCTTTGGCCTTTTTTGCTGCAGCCGCCTTCTCCGCAGCAGCCTTTGCGGCGGCACTCATCTCCTTCGCCCACTCCTTTGCCTTCTTCTCTCGTTCCACCCGTCGCTCGATGGACTGCAGCAACTTCTTAAACATTGGATTCGGCAGCAGGACGTTGTCGGTGAATTCGGCAACTAAAGGGACACCGGAAAAAAGAATAGGTTTTTTTGTTAATTTTTCTTCTTTTCAGGCACTTATATTATATTGAAAGCAGAGCANTGGCAGCAGGACGTTGTCGGTGAATTCGGCAACTAAAGGGACACCGGAAAAAAGAGTAGGTTTTTTTTGTTAATTTTTCTTCTTTTCAGGCACTTATATTATATTGAAAGCAGAGCACACACTTACCACTGCACTGGAGCCAGTGGAGATCGATCTCAATCTGCAGCTTCTCGCTGATCAGCTCGCTCTCCGTCGCCAGCGGCTCCAGCTGGCGGAGCTCGTAGTGGCGTAGCAGCAGCTTCCGGACCTTTCCGGTGATGAGCTTGTCGATGCTGGCCGGCATCGGGTCGTCGGCGGCGGCGGCGCTCTCCGTGGAGGAGAGGCTGCTGCGAATGGTCCTGCTGCTCTCTGTTACCGGCGCGCCCCTTTTCCGGCCTCTCTGCTTGGGGGGAGAGGGCTGTTGTGGTGGTTGTGGTGGGCGTTGCTCCGGAGGTTGTGGGATGGTTTGGGGTTGATTTGGAATTGGGTTAGGTGGGGACACTTGTTGATGAGGATGCTGCTGCTGCTGCTGCGGCACTTGATTTTGCACAAGACGGTGCTGTTGTCTTTCGAGGTTTCCCAGTTGTTGTTGTTGCTGCTGCTGCTGTTGTTGTTGTGTGAATGGGGTAATTTGCTTTAGGTATGCAATTGGGTTAGGTGGGGACACTTGTTGATGAGGGTGAGGATGAGGATGCTGCTGCTGCTGCTGCGGCAGTTGATTTGGCACAAGACGGTGCTGTTGTCTTTCGAAGTTTTCCAGTTGCTGCTGCTGCTGCCTTACCATAAGATGGTAATGTGTTTTGAGGATTTCCTGTTCCTCCTGCTGCTGCTGTTGCTCCTGAGGTCGTGGAAGTGGGATGGTTTGGTTTTGATTTGGAATTGGGTTAGGTGGTGATGTGTGTTGATGAAGATTCTGGGTGAGTGAGGCTTGTTGGGTTTGCCGATGCTGCTGCTGCATTTGAATTTGCAAAAGACGGCGTTGTTTTCTTTCGAGGTTTTCCTGTTGCTGATGTAGCTCATGAAGTTTTAAAAGTGGGATGGTTTGGTTTTGATTTGGGTTAGTTGGTGATATTTGTTGTTGAGGAAGATGATTGGTAAGTGAGGTTGGTTCGGTTTGATTATGTTGCTGCTGCTGCAGCGGCATTTGATTTTGCACAAGACGGTGCTGTTGTCTTTCGAGGTTTCCCAGTTGCCGCTGCTGCTGTTGCTCCTGTTGTTGTGGTTGCTGAGGTTGCTCCTGAGGTTGTGGAAGTGGGATGGCTTGGTTTTTATTTGGAAGTGGGTTAGGTAGTGATATTTGGTAATGAGGATGGTAGTTGAATGAGGTTGGTTCGGTTTGATTATGCTGCTGCTGCTGCTGCATTTGATTTTGCACAAGACGGTGCTGTTGTCGGTGTTGTCTTTCGAGGTTTCCCAGTTGCTGCTGCTGCTGCTGTTGTTGTGTGAATGGGGTGATTTGCTTTTGATATGCAATTGGGTTAGGTGGGGACACTTGTTGATGGAGATGATGCTGCTGCTGCGGCATTTGATTTTGCCTAAGACGGTGCTGCTGTCTTTCGAAGTTTCCCAGTTGTTGTTGTTGTTGTGTGGATAGGGTGATTTGCTTTTGATTTGGAATTAGGTTAGGTGGGAACACTTGCTGATGAGGAGGATGATTGGTAAGTGAGGTTGGTTCGGTTTGATGATGTTGCTGCTGCTGCAGCGGCATTTGATTTTGCACAAGACGGTGCTGTTGTCTTTCGAGGTTTCCCAGTTGCCGCTGCTGCTGTTGCTCCTGTTGTTGTGGTTGCTGAGGTTGCTCCTGAGGTTGTGGAAGTGGGATGGCTTGGTTTTTATTTGGAAGTGGGTTAGGTAGTGATATTTGGTAATGAGGATGGTAGTTGAATGAGGTTGGTTCGGTTTGATTATGCTGCTGCTGCTGCTGCATTTGATTTTGCACAAGACGGTGCTGTTGTCGGTGTTGTCTTTCGAGGTTTCCCAGTTGCTGCTGCTGCTGCTGTTGTTGTGTGAATGGGGTGATTTGCTTTTGATATGCAATTGGGTTAGGTGGGGACACTTGTTGATGGAGATGATGCTGCTGCTGCGGCATTTGATTTTGCCTAAGACGGTGCTGCTGTCTTTCGAAGTTTCCCAGTTGTTGTTGTTGTTGTGTGGATAGGGTGATTTGCTTTTGATTTGGAATTAGGTTAGGTGGGAACACTTGCTGATGAGGAGGATGATTGGTAAGTGAGGTTGGTTCGGTTTGATGATGCTGCTGCTGCTGCTGCTGCATTTGCCTAAGACGGTGCTGTTGTCTTTCGAGGTATTCCTCTTGCTGTTGCTGCTGCTGCTGCTGCTGTTGCTGAAGTCGGGGGTACTGCTGATAATGATTTAGTGGCAGTGGTGGCGAAGGATGAAGGTAATACTGCTGGTGACTGTGTTGATTATGTTGATGTTGTTGCACCTGAGGATGATGTTGAATTGCTGCCTGGTGGTGGTGGGTANCTGCTGCTGTTGCTGCTGAAGTCGGGGGTACTGCTGATAATGATTTAGTGGCAGTGGTGGCGAAGGATGAAGGTAATACTGCTGGGGACTGTGTTGATTATGTTGATGTTGTTGCACCTGAGGATGATGTTGAATTGCTGCCTGGTGGTGGTGGGTATATTGTGGTCGTAGGTTGTATTGTTGAGGTAGTGGTTGCGGTTGCTGTTGCAGCTGCTGCTGCCCCTGATCCTGATTCTCAAGTAGGGCGAGTTGATTTTGAAAAGCAAGTTGTTCATATGATGGTGAACGTTCGAAATGCTGGTAGAAGCTGTCGAAGGAAGGTCGGGAAAGGTGGTAGTTCTGGTTGGGGTGATTGGGTGGCTGCTGCGGCTCAATGATTTGATGTTGTTGTTGTTGTTGCTGCTGCTGCTGCTGCTGCTGCTTCTTCTGCTGATTGAGCTGATCCTTTCGCTGCTGCAGCTGCTGCTTCTTCTGCTGATTGAGCTGATCCTGTTGTTGCTGCCTCTTCTGCGCCTGTTGAAGTCGTTTGCGAAGAACGGACACCGAAGGTAGCTGGTGCGGCGGATGAATGGTGTTATTACTGTTTGGAAGGCGTTGTCCGGCTTGCGATGATTGCTCCTCTGTTTGAGGCATGGAAGTGCCTTGCTGTGGTGGTGGTGGTGGTGGGTGATTTTGTTGCAGTTGTGGTCGCTGAACACTTTGGGCTTGCTGTTGCTGCTGCTGTGACAGATCACTTTGAGGGTGGTGGTTAGGGGGCGGCTGAGTGCCGAAGATCTCTCGCATTGCCTCTTGCATGATGTCTTCGTTTTGCTGGGGCAGCTGCTGTTGCTGTCCTTGCTGCTGCTGCTGAAGCTGCTGCTGACTTTGACCGCCAGTTTCCACCAGGGTGACCGGCGGCGACGGCTGAGCTACCTGAAATAGGTGCTGAAGATTCGCCAGCGACGATGATGACTGCTGCTGCTGCTGCTGCTGCTGCTGGTGATTGCCGCTTGTGGTCATTGCGATATTTGGCTGGTAGTAGTGGGACTCGACTAGAGGCGGCGACGGACTTAACGTTATTGGACTGTACTGCGGCTCTCTGCTGTCTATCACGAGCTCTTCCTGTGGCATTTGCTGCTCTTCAGTTGCCGCCGACCCGTTACTATTTGGTTTTGGGTAGAGGTACGGGTCGCTCAGTGGGGTGAACAGCGGATTCTCCGGGGGCCACATTGACAATGGCATTGACGAGCCGAAGGAGTTGATGGTGATGAGGTTGTTGTTCTCGGTGGCAGCCTGAGATACCTGAGAAGCCTGGAGACTCAGATCTTGAAGAAGGACTTGATCACCTCCTCCTTCATCATCGCCATTTCGATTCGCCTCTGCACGGTGGTTGTTGTTTGTGTCGTGTGATTGTGGACGGGGGTTGAAATCGGCTGAATCTGCTAGTTTTTTAATTAAAGAAAAAATATTTTAAATCTTGTTTGCTTTTTTCAATCTCTTTTACCTTCTGAAATGCTGCCGCTGTTGTTGCCGCTGCTGCTGACATTTATTATCTCCTGACGACCTTGGTATTGCTGGTTGGTGGTGGTGGTGGTGGTGGTGGTTGTTGGCTTCATCATCGTTGTTGTTGTCTGTTGAGTGTTTCACTTTTTGTTTTGTTGCTGTCTTCGACAAATGTGATCTTTGTCGTCGTCGTTGAAGGTGGTGATGATGACGACTGCTGCTGCTGCCGTCCTGATGGGGTCTGACCAGCAGCAGTGCCTGTGCTCGATGCTTTTATGTCTTTTTTCTCCCTCTTCTTGTCCCTCTTGCAACAACTGCTTCTTCTGCTTCTGCTTCTGCTTCTGCCGTCCTCCTCCTCCTTCTCCTCGTTTTTCCGCTCCACTGACGGCGGTGAAGAGGATGACCGGCGGCAGTTGTGGTGGTTGCGGTTGGTTGTTGCCTACAAACTACTTCAGCACACTGAACAAGTGAACTGCAGCCTTGCGTGGAGAATGGTGGTAATGGTAGAGGAAGGAGAATGGATAGAAAGAAAGGATAGAGAGAGAGAGAGAGAGAGAGAGAGAGAGAGAGAGAGAGAGAGAGAGAGAGAGAGAG